AGGACAGAAGGGGCCGGGAGAACCTGCAAGGTTCCCTCCACAGCATCTCCAGCTCCTGCGAGGAGCCCGGGGGACTCTGGATATAAGTAAATTCGATTCCTTTTAGATACAGGCTGGTTACTCTGTTTTGACTTCTTCCCTGGAAAACTGCTGTAGATTTGCAGCCATAACTGGAGTGCATGGGGTCCCTAGTCAGAGCTTCTTTACTCCTGCTCTGACACATCAATTCAAAGGTCGGTGTTCAATCATGAGATTTTTTTTTTTTTTTTTGAGACAGTGTCTCACTGTGTAGTTCAAGCTGGCCTTGAACTCATGGTGATCCTTTTGCTTCAGTCTCCAGAGTGAGATGGGATTTCAAGCATGCCCCATACCCAGCTTCAACCATGAGTTTTTAATTGTCCTACGGTGTCCTGCTCCCTTACTAGGAAGATATTATAGTGCTAGTAAAACTGGGGAGTGATTCTCCAGTTCCATGCAAGGGCAAAATGGATTTTACCTGTTCAGACTGTATCAGGCCTCCCAAACCTAATTAGTCAGAGGGTAGATGCTGCTGCATGGTATCATGCAGTGGTGGTGAACCTATGCCACGCATGCCACAGCCAGCGGATTATTATCATTGGAAACTGAAAGGTTTGCCATCCCTGGTATTCCATTATACCAGGGCAAATTCATCAATGCCAGTACTTACAATATTAAAAGAACCTGGCCAATTTCCCAACCAAAACTGATATCCAATCAGAAAAGAGGCCTGTAAATTTTTGCCTCCAGTCTCTCATGGTCAGGTTTATCAAACATGACCTTCTGGGGCCTTGTAAGTCCCCCATGCAATATTCCCATTCTCCTCATAGTACAGCCTTCAGGAGAAGACCCCTTTTGGATGGTATAACACCTCCTACCTCATTAATGCGGCAGTAATCCCAATCCACCCACCAGTGGTAGACCCATACACAATCCTCTCCCAAATTCCAGGACGCTTTCCATAGAACAGTTGAAACCTGGCTCCAGCCAGTGAGTTCCTAAGACAGCCCTCCTGATGCCTTGCTTGCACGAGGGAGCTGTCCAGGGACTCTAGACACAGGAGATCCCTTTCCTTTATCATCACAGCCGCTATGAGTCCGCTCACTGACGCTCTCATTCTGTAGGTCAAACTTCGTTTCCACCTTCACTACACACGCATCCCGCTACCTTTTCTGTTGTCTTGGCTGCCTCTTTGTTCAGGACAGCAAGACGTTCAGAAGCCTCCCACTAGGATCCGCCAGCTGGTAACAGGTTCAGTACCTGGTAAAAATAAATGCATAAGGTTTGAGGATGTAGCTCAGCACTCCCTGGGCTCAGTTCTCAGTGGGAGAGAGAAGAGGGGAGAAAAAGAATAGACAAGGCCTGCCGGGGATCTCTCATACATATGTCCATACATATACATAAAAAATACTTTAAAGCATGCATGGAGAAGGGTTGGAGGTCAGCTGTACAGGTGAGTATATGCAGACTGTGTGGGTTTGAGCCTTAGAACTAAAAAAACAACAGACTACAAAACAAAAGCATATAGCATGCTGAACAAAGATCTGCTTACCCCTGGGGGAAACTTTGGGATAATTTTCATCTTGTTTGTTCAAATATTCTGATTTTTCTTGGAAAGCTATTATTTTACCTCTCTTGTAGCTGGAGACAAGGCTTTTAAGTTATTATTTAATTCTTTGAATCACCAAAATTTTGTTTTAAAAATATTTTTATAGGGGGCTGGGGATTTAGCTCAGCAACACAGCACCTGCCTGGCAAGTGCAAGGTCGTGAGTTCAATTCCTGGTACCAGAAAAAAAACAAGAACAAAAAAAAATTTTTTTTATAATGCTGGGGGTGTAGCTGCGTGGTAGAGCTTGCCTAGCACGCACGAGGCTGGGGTTCCATCCCCAGCACTGGGGAAACAAAAAAGGAAATGCAGAACCAGTTTTGAATCCAGGTTTGAAATTTAACCTATTTAAAACCAATATGCAGCATGCCTACAAAACCAGAAAATTCGCAACCACCACAAGAAGTCAGACACCCTTGAAATTAGACGTGCGAGAAGCAGCCACTGCCAGGAAGGTTTCTTTTTTTTGTTTGTTTTTTGTTTTGTTTTTCTTCCGGTACCAGGAATCGAACTCACGACGTTGCGCTTGCCAGGCAGGCGCTTTGCCGCTGAGCTAAATCCCGTACCCACTAAGTTTCTGACCATTAAACCTTTGGCAGGAGCCCAGAGAAGCGCAAAGACCGAGTAAAGGCAACAAAGCGCAGGGCTTCAAAGCTTGGTAGCGTCCACCTCTCCTCTAAAGCCCAACATTCACTGATCTTTCCGGAACTTTTTTGCCGGACAACAGATGAGCTATCCGGAGAAATAAGCCCGGTGAGCAGACGACTTCCGCGCGGGTTAGTCCTTCAAGTCTACACAAGCGAACCGGAAGTCCGTCACCTTTTGCTGGCCACCCTTTTCCGGAAATGACGCAAGGCGGGGGTTGCCGGAAGAAGTGGCGAAGTTACTTTTCCTCTTTTTTGCGCTGCTGGGGACCGAACCCAGGGCTTCACGCATGCTAGGCAAGCTACAAGCCCAGCCCCTCAGAAGTTACTTTTGAGGGGACCCGGTAGCAGTGGCCTGTCAGGGGCTGCGGAGGAGAAGCAGAGCCAGGGACGGAGGCAAGTGTACTCGAGAGTGGGAAGACGCGGGAGGAGCCCGGCCCCGGGCTTCCCGGCGTTGTCCGCCGGCTTCACTCAGCCTCCCGCTCCTCTTCCATTCCCTCCACTCCGCAGCTCGCACCTCCCCCGGATGTTTCCAGGGCAACGGGAGCAGCAGACCCCGCCAAAGGCAGCCCAGTAGACCCCCGCGCGCAGCCATGAGCCCCGCCTCCCACTGGCACTCGGAGAGGGGCGGGACCTGGAGCGAGGTGTGGGGCGGAGCTTGGTGGGAGGAGAGGGGCAGGATCCGAGCGAGGAGTGGGCGGAGCTTGGGGCAGGGGGCAAGAAGGGGCGGGGCGAAGTGCGGGCAGGAGATCCAAGGATGTAGGGAGCAGGCCCTGGGAGGGATGGGGCGGGGCCTAGGAGGAACAGATGGGTGGAGCACAATGGAGGGGATGGGGTCAGAATCGGACAAGGGGGGCTTTCCCAGCAGAGGTGAGGTGGCGGCTCAGTGAGAGTAGGTGGTGTGAAGCCGGGTGGAGGGAGGACTCGAGGACGGTGTGGTTGAAGGAATGGCTGGTATTTGGACCAGAGCAGGTGGGTGGGGCCTGGGTGGGAGGGGCGTGGAGGAGGAGGAGCGACGTGGAGGAGGGGCAAGGCTGATGAGAATTAGGGCGGCAAGTAGCTGTTTTGTATTGGGGGGCTTTGGTTTTTTTTTTTGAGACACGGCCTCAATCTGTAGTCCAGGATGTCCTTGAAGTCACTGTGCAGGCTGGCCTGGAACTGACAGCGATCTTGCCTCAGCCTCTTGAGTGCTGGGATTGCAGGCGTGTGTGACTGCGTCCCGCTGCAAGTTAAGACTATACAGTAGTAAAAACACTCTGGGGAAGGAAAAGGGCCTGGCCCACTCCTCCCCACCCCACAAGCCTCTCAGACCCCTGTATTCTGCAGGCTGCTTCGTGACCCCACCATGTCTTCCCCCACCACGAGTTCCGCGGACACCCCCCAGCCTGGTGAGTGGTCCTCTTCCTCACTGAACCCCATCCCAGGCTGGCAGACGCTCACTGTTCCTTCCTCTCTTCCCTCTGCCTCTCAGGAAATGCCCCTCCTCAGCCCAGCACTTCCTCCTCTTCACCCACTATAAAGAAGGAGGGCCCTGAGCCGTGGCCTGAGGGTCCGGACCCTGATGTCCCAGGCACCGATGGGGCCAGCTCGGCCTGCATCGTGGGTGAGATGGGGCCCAGGGTCCGGGATAGGGAGCTGGTGTGGAGCTGGGGAAGGGTCTAGACAGGGAGAAAGATGAGAAACAGCTGAGGAGATGGGCGGCTCCTGTCTCCTGTTCATTTCCTTCCATTTGTTCTGGAGGCCTCCCGCATCGACTCGTTCTCTGCAGCCTACTGACTTGCTCATCTTTCCCTCTTTGACTCGCGGGCCCTGGCTGATCGCATCTTCTCCTGTCACCCTGTGTCCCCTGGCTCTTCCCCTGGGATGGCTCGTGACCTGCACCGTGGCTGCGGTCTCCGTTTGGGCCCTTCCTCATGGCCTTTGTTTGCCCGTCCCAGTCATCCTAGAGCCAGATGAGGAACCAGAGCCTGAGCGCAAGCGAAAGAAGGGCCCAGCTCCAAAAATGCTGGGCCATGAGCTCTGCCGCGTGTGTGGGGACAAGGCCTCTGGCTTCCACTACAACGTGCTGAGCTGTGAAGGCTGCAAAGGCTTCTTCCGGCGCAGCGTGGTCCACGGTGGAGCCGGGCGCTACGTCTGCCGGGGCGGCGGAACCTGCCAAATGGATGCCTTCATGCGGCGCAAGTGCCAGCAGTGCCGGCTGCGCAAGTGCAAGGAGGCAGGGATGAGGGAGCAGTGTGAGTGTGGGGCGGGGCTTGCCAGCGCCAGCACCTGCCCAGGCCGGGCCGCTGCTGAGGCCTGTGTCCCCCACAGGTGTGCTCTCAGAAGAACAGATCCGGAAGAAGAAGATTCAGAAGCAACAGCAGCAACAGCAGCAGCAGCAGCAGCAGCAACAGCAGCAACAGCAGCCATTGCCTGTGGAGCCAGGGGGCAGCAGCAGCTCAACCTCTGGCCCAGGGGCTTCCCCCGGAGGGTCCGAGGCAGGGGGCCAGGGCTCTGGGGAAGGTGAGGGCATCCAATTAACAGCGGCTCAGGAACTAATGATCCAGCAGTTGGTGGCGGCCCAGCTGCAGTGCAACAAGCGCTCCTTCTCCGACCAGCCCAAAGTCACGGTACCGTGCCTCCCCCTGCCCTAGCATGCCGGGGATTGGGGGTGTGGGAGGACTCCGAGCTGCAGGGGGCAGGAGGTCCCCAGAGCACAGGAGTGGTGCCGGGAGTGACCCTGGCCTCCTGCATCCCAGCCCTGGCCCCTGGGTGCAGACCCCCAGTCCCGCGATGCCCGCCAGCAGCGCTTCGCACACTTCACGGAGCTGGCCATCATCTCCGTTCAGGAGATTGTGGACTTCGCTAAGCAGGTGCCTGGCTTCCTGCAGCTGGGCCGCGAGGACCAGATCGCCCTCCTGAAGGCGTCCACCATCGAGGTAACTGCCTGGCCGCCCTCCCCTCGTCCCACAGGTACTCTGGATGACATTTGTAAGGGAGCATCCAGATTCTAAACAGGATGCTCAGAGCCTCCCAGGGGCAAAGGAAAAAGGGGCTGAGGCTGAGAACAATGGAGGATCAGGATGGAAGGGCCTACTTTACCAGAAATATACCCAAAACTCTTGGGGTGATATCTGAGCCAGTGAATAAGTGTTGAGCACCTGCTGCATGCAGGGCTCCACTCCAAGTCCTGGCCTGTGGCTGTGAACAGGCAAAGCTCGCTACACTGTGCTTGTAACTGCCTAGGAGAGTCAGAGATGGAGGGGGGCGGGCGGAAGAGAGCTGGAGCGTAGCACCACACACTGCTGTGGCAGGCCGCTGTCCCTTTGGGGCCGGGAAGAAGAGGGCAGCAGCTAAGGGCTGGGGCCCCTACTCCCCCCACAGATCATGCTGCTGGAGACGGCCCGGCGCTACAACCATGAGACGGAATGCATCACCTTCCTGAAAGACTTCACCTACAGCAAGGACGACTTCCACCGTGCAGGTCACTGGGGGCCGGGTAGGGCTGGAGAGGTTTCGGGACCTCAGTTGCCTCATCCCGTTGGAGCCTCCAAAGTGTGGCTCTCGGGAGCCAACCTGAGAGCCAGAGAAGCGTCATTTCTCGAGTGTGTCAGGAAGCAGCACCCCACGGGGAATCGCATAGCCCGCCAAAGCCAAAGCTGGGGAAGGGCGGGGCAGCACTGCCAGCTGCCACCAAGCGTGGCTGAGGCCTAGCCTGCACCTCCACTGGGCTTTCTCAGTACATCTGCCATTTTCCCCTGGGGCACTTTTGGCTGTCCTTAGACATCTCCTCCTAGTCCTGCCTTCATCCTCCAATTCCCAGCACCCCCTTCAGTCCCAGTGGCTCTTTCCTTGTGAGTTTACAATGGAGGACTCCAGGGTAGAGCTACGGCATGGGCAAAGGCCCAAGGTAGGGGGCAACTGGAGGGTTTTACAGAACTACAGGAAGCCCAGGCAGTAGATGGGGCTGGAAAGGAGGCTGGGGACCCTCCACCCCTGCTGCCCAGCTCCCCTCCCAGTGCCTCCGTTCCCATAGCAATCCAGTGGTGTTAACATCACGGCTGCCTCTCCTCTGCTAGAACCTTCTATGGCTCCCATCTTACTAGGAGAAGAGCCAGTCCTCACTGTGGGCCACAAAGCCGTTCAAACCTGGTCTTGTTCCTTCTCTGCCCTCCCCTCTGTGCCTGCCTCCTTCTCCTTGACCACCTGCCTTCCCACTTGAATTCAGACCATCAAGCTGGTTCCAGGGCCTCTGGACTTACTGTGGCCTTGCCTGGAACAAGGGTGACTGTGTCGTCTGGTGCACCCAGGACCTTCAGTTTGAATGCTAAAAGCCCCATGACCTGTGTAACCCCTAAGTCTGGGGACAGCAGACATCTGGCCCCACCCAGGACACTTGGGCAGCCTGTAACTTGCTTCCTTGCCTCCTTGGTCATTTTCTGCCTGCGGTATTGGACCTGCGAACACGATCCTCAGCGTCCCGATTGCCCGGCCGTGCACTGTCTCTGAAGCCCGTCACCCTGACAGGCTGGGTACTCACTGATGTTTTCATCTGCTCCCTCCACCCCAGAGTCTTCCAAGAGCTGGGCCTTCATTTTGTAAACTGCTCTGCCCCCGGGCCTGGCATACAGCAGGTGCTCAGTGTGATGAATGAACAGGTCCATCTCAGGAGCAAGTGTGAGCTTTACCCAGAGCAGCGGCAGGCACCGGGGCCAGGCATGATGTGACCTAGGCTAAGCCCCGTTCCCTGCCTTCCTGAAGGATGGCGGGAAATGCTCAGTGACGCTCCCACTCCTCATCTTACCGCGTGTGCTGCCAGGGTCTGTGGGACACCTGCCCCACGCCAGGCTCGGGGGCAGAGGGGTCGGAAGTGACGGGAACCTTGCTGTGGCTGCTGTTCTCCCTCGCCCGCTGACTGGTGTACATGGGGGTCAGGGCATGGAGGTCAGGCGCAGGCAGAGGGAGCTGACTTCAAGCTTCCCGTCCGGCCGCAGGCCTGCAGGTGGAGTTCATCAACCCCATCTTTGAGTTCTCAAGGGCCATGCGGCGGCTTGGGCTGGACGATGCTGAGTACGCCCTGCTCATCGCCATCAACATCTTCTCCGCTGACCGCCCCAACGTGCAGGAGCCCAGCCGCGTGGAGGCGCTGCAGCAGCCCTACGTGGAGGCGCTGCTCTCCTACACGCGCATCAAGAGGCCGCAGGTGGGTCTGCCCTGCAGAGCTGCCCCAGGCCTGCCCCTCCCTGGCAGCCGGCCTCCCCAGCCTCTCCTTTTTCCAAGCTGGTCCTTGAGGGGTCTCCTGGCAGGGCAGGGCTCGAGCTGGCAGCACCCGCTTCTGTCCACAGGACCAGCTCCGCTTCCCGCGCATGCTGATGAAGCTTGTGAGCCTGCGCACCCTGAGCTCCGTGCACTCCGAGCAGGTCTTCGCCCTGCGGCTCCAGGACAAGAAGCTGCCGCCTCTGCTGTCTGAGATCTGGGATGTCCATGAGTAAGGGGCCGGCCGCCCCGGCCCCCAGCCTTGCCTGACGCCCTTCAGCGTATGGATGGACGCCATCACCCTTCTCCCTCCAGGGTGGGAAGGGGCCTGGGCCAGGCCTGTTTGTCTTTTGCCTTTTGGCCTTCAGGATGAGTCTCAGTTGGGGTCCAGAAGTCGCCTTCCCCGCCCACTGTCTTCCAGGAAGGGTGATGGGTCCAAGTCCTGACCTCTGACATCTGACCTCTCCCACTGCCCTCCCTGCCCAGCTTACACCTCCAGCCACCACACAGTGCACCTTGAACAGAGTGAGGGCTGGCTGGGCCCCAGGCCTGGGAGGCCACAGTAGCCCTCCTCCTCTGTTCCTTTTATTTAATAAAAACAAAAACAAAACAAAAACAAAATAAGGGTACAAGCCAGCCTTGAGTCAGAGCATGAGAAGTGAAGCGAGGGCTTCCAGGGTCTTCACTGGCGCCACCCGCCTCCCGGATTCGGCCCCCCAGGCTGACGGGGTGACACACCATCCGCATCCAGGGCCATCTGCCCTGGCGGCCGTGGGGTCAGAGTCTTCTCTTGGTACAAGCCGAACGGGCACTGCCCTTGCCAAAGAGGGCCCGAGGCGCTGAGGGATCGGAGCTTCTGTCCAGTCAGCAAGCGCTCCCTCAGGCCCCTGTGGGCGGCACTGCGCTGGCCACTCTGGGGACACAAGGCTCTTGTCCCGCAGGCGTTGATGGAGCGATTATTTCACTGGGACCTGCTGTGAACAAGAAAATAAAGGTCGCCCTCTGATCTCTGCTAGACAGAGGGACATGGGTGGGACCAGTGGGAAGTAGAAGGGCTTGGAAGAGGCGGCCCAAGCCAGCGTGGAGCTATGGCGGGAAAGGGAAACGCTCACGTGAGGCCGCGTCTTCCCTGGCACTGGAAACGGCAGCCAGGGGTTGGGTCTGGGAGCGGTGCTTGCAGTCTGGCGGGGACGCGCCGGTGTGAGCCCCGTTAGGGCAAGCGCGATGTCCTCCCAGATGCCGGCGTTGAGCAGAGAGGCCTGGCGAGCGGGCGGGCTGCAGGGAGGCTGCTGAGAGGCGCGTGGATGTGGGGCGGGGCACAGGGCGCAGCAGAGATGAGAGTTACAGGGGGTCACCCTTTTCACTGAGTCCACTGGGTCCGATTTACAGAACGGGACACTGAGGCTGGGAGTTTCGTAATGGCCAAGCTCTGCGGGAAGGGTTGGCATCAGGCCGGGTGGTTGTTCTGATACCGCCTTGGTGGCTGGAGGTTGGGGGCGCCGCGTAGAAGAACCAGAGATGGGAGGGTCAGGGTTGCGGGCAGCTGGAAGGCTCTGCGGTAAGGGGCGTGGCCCTGGATCTACGTCACGCTAGGGCGGGGCCAACAAAATTTGTCGGGGCGGGGCTCCAATTGGGAAGGGCGTGGCTTGCCTCTCCGGGCGGCGGAATTGGGGCGGGGCCTCGCCCCACGAGGCAGGCAGGGAGCGTAGCCCGGTCTGTACGCGGTGGCTCTGGGCATGCGCACGCTGGAGTCAAAGGTCGCGGTGGCGTACACTGTGGCGGGAAACCCTGTTTGAAGCGGGTAAGGAGGAAGAGAGGTGCGGGGAGCTTGGCTGGACGGGGAACCGGGCTGGGGAGTCCGGAACGCAGCCCCGAGGAAGGGTTGTGAGGGGTCGGGCGGGACGTGGCTGCAGGAGGGGCCGCCTTGGCTCGGGGCCTCAGGGACCAGTGGCCGGAGAGCGCCGGGACGGGACCGTGCGGGCCTGGCCTGGGGTCGGGGTCGCCGTGCGCGGGGCGTGGACCGAGCGGTGCCCGCGCGAGCCTGCGCAGCCCTCTGTTCGCTGGACATTTGTGGAGTACTCGGTCCCAGGCGCCGTTCAAGCAGGGACCGCAGCAGGAGCAAGTCTGAGGTCCCTGCGCCGGGGAACACGGTAGACAGGCGAGAAGGACTTGCAGGAGCGCGGAAGCGCTTCGAGACCTAAAACAGGCTCAGGCGATCTCGACGGGAAGCCCCTCCCGGGGGAAGCAGCGCCCGGGACGCGAAGTCTGCAGTGTAGTGAAAGGTCTGGGCGGAGGAACCCACAAGCGCAGAGGCCCTGAAGCAGGCTGGAGCTGGGTGTGTTTGGAGCTGGAGCTAAAGACAGAGATACAGATGAAGTCGGGGGACATGACAGGGGAGCGGATCCTGTCGGCCCTTGAGAACCCCGTGTGGAGCCTGACCTTTATTCGGGGTTCACTGGGGAGCCATGGGAGGGTTTGCATATGGGCGCAGCATCAACTGCCTTGGTTTTTGAAGAACTCGCTGGAAGCTGAGTGGAGATTGGGTTGGAGCTGGAGGAAGAGTGGGGATGACTCCCGGCTTCGTGGGGTGAGCAGCAGCCAGATGACGAAGGCTGAGGGGGAAGCAGGTTTGGGGAGCCGCTCTGAAGGCAGGCCCTGAGCCCACCCAGAAACCTGCTCTTGCCTTGTCTGCTCCCTCTTTGCTGCACTTCACCCAGGCCTCTACCCGTACAGAGCTGCCTTCCCCAGTCCTGGCCTTTGCTGGACCTGGGCAGCCGAGGTAATTCAGGCAGGTTGTGGAAAGGATGAGAGATCTCAGCCCCGCATTGCGCAGAGCTGGTCTTTGGGAGCCAGAGCAGAACCTGGATGCCAAGGGACATCTCAGCAGAGTTGGTGACATGTGCTGGGAATCTGAACTCATGAGGCCCAGGCACCGTGCTGGGTGATGCTGCGGCCCTGGCTTGGGTGAGACCCTGAGCCCTGTTTTTGAGGAGCTCCCAGACTAAGACTGCCCAGCTTGGGATGCACATGTGTGATGGCAGATGTCGCGTGAGGCGCTGTGGGAGCCCAAGGGCGTCTGGCCAGTCTGGAGGAGCTGAGCTGGTGCTGAGACAGGAAGTGGCAGGATTAGGCAGCTGAGGGCGGGGATTTATCCAGCTCACACTTTCTTAATTTTTTTTTTTTTTGTACCGGGAATCGAACTCAGGGCCTTGAGCTTGCCCGGCTGAGCTACATCCCTGGCCTAAGCTCACGTTTTCTGAGGGTAACTGGGGGCTAGAGAAGAGTCAGGCCCTCCCTGCTCACCAGAGGCCCCGTCTGGTGCTGGCGGCAGACACAGCCAGTCCACAGGCTGTGCAGTCAGAGAGCAGCGCAGGGAAGGAAGCTGAAGGCCACACTGGGAAAATGCACAGGTTCCCACAAGGTGCAAGATGCGGAGTTGCACTGTGATCATTTAACCATGGCTGGTGAGCCCCTTCTCTGTCCCAGCGGTTTTTTTAGGCACAAGAGCTGTCTCAGGAAACCAAAGACAAATCCCTGCTGTCATGGAGCTCCTGTCCCAGTACCATAGACATTGAGGAAGATGAACACGCAGTACTCCTCAGGCCCAAGTGGGTTGGAATCTGGGAGCTCTTCTGTATTCATTTATTTCATATTAGTAGGGATTGAGCCCAAGGTGTCACACTGAGTTATATTCTCTATCCCCTTTTCATTGTATTGTGAGACAAGTTGTCTGAGTGGGGCTAGAGCTCAAGATCCTCCTGCTTCAGCCTCCTGAGTGCTGGGATGACAGGCCTACACCACCAGCTGTGGGAACTCTTTTTACAACACAGAGGCTCGCCCTCTGGCCCCCAGAGGTCCCAGTTTAGTCCTAGGTGTGCCTGACAATGAGCTTTTCCAACAAGTCTTGTCTGCACCTCTTTCTGCTGGTCCAGGGGCCACTCTTTGCGAACTGAGAAGGGTGCAGCATACCAACCAGTGATAACTGATAGCAGAGCAGCAGGAAAGGAGGGTGGGGAGTCCCAGGAAGGGGCGGCCTTGCATCTGTAAACAGCTTCCCTGGGAATGTGGTACACAAGCAGAGGCTGAAGGGGGAATCCCAGGAGCCAGGAGATGTCTGCACTGTCAACAGCTTGTGCAAAGGTCCTGAGGTAGGACTGGACCTGGTGTGTTTAAGGAGCAGCAAGGCCAGTGATGAGCCAGGGAAGAGGGCGGGAGGTGGCATGAGAACTTGGAGCCAGATAGTGTGGTACCTGGGGCCTGTGGTGAGGACTTAACTTGGTTTCACCTGAGAAGGGGGACAGGGACTGGCTTTGAGTGGAGGGACAGGATGGTCTGACCTGTTTGTACGGAATCCCTCTGGCTGTCATGGGGGAGGGAGACGGGGAGGGCATTCATCCCTCAGGACCTCGCTGTGCCAGGCCCTGGCAGAGGCTCCCTGGCACCTCTGGGAGAAGCCCTGCACTGAGCTCACAGCCCAGCAGGGGGAGACCACGAGCAGCCTCAGGAGGGATCTTTTAGGAGTGGTAGGATATGCTGAGGGCAAAAGAAAAGTTGAGGTGACTCCAAGGGTGTTAGATTTAGGGGACTGTGGGATGTGAGGAGCAGGTGGAGCTCAGCTCTGGGGTGTGAGATGCCTGAAGGGACACACTCTTGGTGGGGGTGTTGTGGCGGCTGTGGCTGTGTCCTTGGAGGAGACACGGGGGAAGTGGCCTGTGGGGAGTCACTGTGCAGGGCTGGCCTGCCCGCAGAGCCCTGGGCATCACCCCTGTGCGGGCACAGGCTGGGCAGCCCTGTCAGGTTGGTGAGATGGGGCCAGGGCATCGTGAGAAGGTCACTGAAAACCAGCACCCGACTCCAGGCGCCTGTTGCTGCAGTACTGGGGTCACAGGGCGTGTGCTACTCTACTGAAGGCCCTAAGGAGCCAGGGCCCAGCATGTGCCAAGTGCATGTCCTGTGCCAGGCAGGAGAGGACATCGGGTGACACGTGACACCGTGCTGTGTCGGGCCACGTGGTGGGGAGCTGCTCAGGCGTAAGGAAGAGCGGTGAGAGGGGATGGATTCTGAGATGCAGGTCTCAGGAAGGCACGTCTGTAGAGGCTAATGGCTGCCTGGGGGTGAGGAGCAGATGGCCCCAGTGGAGAGTGATCGCCCAAGGATGTGGCCTTTTTTGGGGAGCTGACAGTGTCCTAAAGTGGGTTGTGGTGGCGGCTGTACAAGTGTAAGTGTACGAAAACCACTGAGGAGTGAATTTGCTGTTTTGGTGGCGGTGCTGGGGAATGGAAAGGGCCTCACTCACGCTGAGCTACATCCGTAGCCCCGGAAGCCTCTGCAGTGTGAATTATATCTGGGTGGGGCTGTTGCCAAATAAAGTCCTCTTCCACACTGTCCCCAGGAAACCACTGGCTCCAGCCCTGCCCGTCCTTCCCAGGTGATGCACTGGCTGGGGTGTAGCTCAGAGGTAGAACGCTTGCCCAGCATGTACAAGGCCGTGGTTTGATCCCCAGCACCATACACACACAGAAGCAATATATGTGTTCCGCTACCCACCTTAAAAAAATGGCCCTTTTTTATGTATTTCCTCCTCAAGTTGCTATTTTGAATGTTTTCTAACCTGCAGGGACCTTGTAAGATGAGCACAGCAAACAGCAAAGATGAGCACAGCAAACAGTGTGCCCTTTGCCTTGAGTGACTGGTGTCAGCATTGCTGCCTCATTTGCTTTATCTAAACACTCATGAATCTGCACACCATTCTTCTTTTTTGCCTGAACTATTTGACAGTTGTGGTCATCAGGAGAGTTATCCTCCAAAAACTTCAGCAGGTGTCTCCTAAGAACTGGGGCCCCAGCCTCCGTCAGTACAGTGCAGTTCAGTTGTCACAGTCCGGCACTTCCACGTGAGACAGGACACACTATCACTGAACAAACAGACCATATTCAGATCTGTTCAGCGGTCAGTTGCACCCTTCATAACCAACTGCATTTCTTTTCTCCCAAGATCCTGCTTGGGATCACACTTTGCATCTCTTTGCCATGACAGCTTTTTCTTTTCTTTCGTGACATTGACATGCTTAAAGATTCCAAACCAGTAGTTGCCAACCTTCCCTGTGGATTTGTTGGAGGGTATCCCAGTGACTAGAGTGAGGGTAGACATTTTCTTAAACATTCTTGGGTTTTTTTAAAAATACAAAACATAAAACTCTTCCACACCATTGCATACCTCGCCTTTTCTCCTGAACAGTGCCCCTTTGAGAGCGTGCACTGTGGGCCTGCAGAGCTTCCTCATTCTTTTATATGGCTGCATAGTATTCCATTGAATGGAATTAATGTTATTTATTTAAACAGTCACCTAAGGGAGGGCATTTAGGTGGTTTCCAGTCTTGACAGTTCAAATAATGCTACTGGAAGTTACCTTGTAAATGCAGCATTTTCCCGTGATGCCATATCTGTAGCGTAAATCCCTAGGTACCCAATTGCAGCCTGCAAACTTCTATGTGTTTAATTGGGGTGTGATGTACATATAGTGAAATGCATAAGGTCACCAGTGTGCAGTCTGATGCGGGTGATGTTTCACTTTGTGTCATCCCTCAGAATTGCCTCAAGCCCCGTCCTCATCAGTCCTGGCCACCCCAGGTTGTTCTATAGTGTTGTGTAGACGGCATCATACGCCACAGGATTTCCTTTTGTGCAGAGGTGAGGTGAAGTGTGTATGTGTGTGTGTGAACCTGGGGATGGAACCGAGGGGTGTTCTACCACTCACCTGGCTACATCTCCAGCCTCTTTTTTGAGACAGGGTCTTATTCTATAATCCAGGCTGGCCTTGAACTCCTTACGTAGCCCAGGCCGGCCTTGAACTTGTGGCAGTCCTCCAGCCTCTGCTTCCCTAGTGCTGGGATTACAGGTGTATGTGTCACCACACCTGGCCAGCCCTTTTTTTAGTTCAGGACAGAGTCTCGCACAAGCTGGCTTTGAACTCGCAGTCCTCTTGCCTCAGCCTCCTGCATGCTGGGCTGACAGATGTGTATCACCAGACCCAGCACAATGAACCATTTTAAAGCGAACAGCTCGGTGTATGTTCACTACGTGGTGAACTGTCGCCTCTCTTTAGTTCCAGAACATCCCACCTCCCTAAAGAAAACCCATGCCCATGAAGCAATTGCTCCTCACCATTCCCTCGTCCTGCTGTCTGGGCATTCTATGCCTGGCTTCTTTCACACAGCTTATTTTTTAAATATTGATTGATTGATTATTTTGTAGTACATGGGCTTGAACCCAGGGCTTTCTCACTGAGCCGTATTCTTGGCCCTTTTTATTTTTTACTTTGAACAGGGACTCACTAAATAGCCCAGGCGGGGCTCAGACCTGCGCTCCTCCTGCCCCAGTGCTTTTCTTTGTTCATGCAGGGCGGGTGATGGCAAACTTAGGGTGCGCGTGCCACAGCAGGCCGTTGTGATCATACGCCCTGAAAGGTTCACCATCGCTGATCTCAACCAAGCTGCTGTAACAGGAGCCCCAGAGAGACCCAAGTTGAGCTCGTCCCCTCGCCATCCAGAAGTTGCCAAGGAGCCCAGGGCTGGCCCATCCTGTGGCCCAGGTTGGCCCCCCCACCATGGGGAGTGGAAGGTGGAAGGCACCCAGAAGTTACACGGTGCGCAAGCTCAGTCACAGTCGTGCAGCTGCCCCAGCGCGCGTTTCAGGCACCACGGGAAGCCGCTGAGATGGTGGCTGTGGGACTCGGGGCTGCTGCCTGAGCCGGGGCAGCAAGGTCCTTTCCACGGCTACGAGTGTCGGGCCTGCCTGGGGTGGGATGCAGCCACTGGCCTGGGCGCTTCCCGTGTCTGCTGGGAGGCCGGGCAGATGGGATAGAGGTGAATCGGGAAAAAGGCTGTGCTGAGGGTCAGGTGATAGGGAAGGGTCCGGCAGCGAGGGCCCTGAGGGGCGGGGTGTGGGGCCTGCGTTAAGCTGGGGGTGCGCCCGCCGCCCATCAGCGCCAGGTGGAGAGTCGGACTGTTAGCTGCTCCCGGTACCGCGGGTGCATGGGGCGTGGAGGAGACAGGAAAGCTCCCAGCAAGCCCCGACTTGCCCACAGGATGGATGGCAAGCGGCAGCGGGCCCCGGGGCCCGGGATACCCGCAAAGCGGGCTCGAGGGGGCCTCTGGGATGAGGAGATTCCGCCGTCCCAGTTCGAAGAGGACCTGGCGCTGCTGGAGGAGATGGAGGCTGAGCACAGGCTGCAGGAGCAGGAGGAGGAGGCACTGCAGCCAGCCTTGGAGGGGGCTGTGGACGGTGAGCCCTGGACCGGGACCCCTCAGCCCCCGCACCTCTGCTCTTGCCTCTGGAGTCCGCAGCAAAGCCGACCTGTGCCCACTTTGAGTCCCCCAAAGGGCTGACCTTTGACCCCTTACCTGTATGCATCTCAGGGGCTGCAGCTTCTCTTCTGACCCAGACCACCACCTCCACCCTACCTTGCCCTGTTCAGTGGGGCCTGAGGAATGGGGGGCCAGGGCTGGCCTGGAGGTGTCGCTTGTCTCCAAGGGGGCCCTGACTCCTCTGCCCCATCCAGGGCAGCTCTCCTTGGCAGCCACTGACCCCCGCTGGCTGCGGCCCGCCCCGCCCCCGCTGGACCCCCAGATGGAGCCCCTCATCTTCCAGCAGCTGGAGATCGATCATTACGTGGGTGAGTCGGGTAGAGTCAGGTGGCCAGCTCTGTCTCTCAGGTTGTCACAGCCCGTGGGAGGACCGGACCCGAGTGGTCCCCACTGCAGTGACTAGGAGTGGGCCGGAGGCACAGGGCAAGGAGCCCAGGGCAGGAGCGGGAAGTGGCCCAGCTCATGCTGACCACTAAACACTGTGTGCCCCGGGGGGCCCACTGCAAGCCCATTCACATGGACAACTTGACAAAGAGAACCCAGGTCAGGTCAGCGCTGGTGCATGGAGGGGCCGTAGGGGGGGCAGGACCGTGTTGTGGTGGTTGCCAGAATGAATCTGAACATTCATGGCATTAGATCCATGTGTTGATCAGTAGTTTTTACTTCTTGCATAAATATCTGACATAATAAGGAGGGGAGGGACTGGGGATTTAGCTCAGCGGCAAAGCGCCTGCCTGGCAAGCGCAAGGTCATGAGTTCGGTTCCCGGTACCGGAGAAAAACCAAAAAAAAAAGAAAAAAAAAGGAGGGAATCAAGTATGATCGCCCACATCTGTAAACCCTAGCAGTCTGGGAGGCTGAGGCAGGAGAGTCTTAAAGTAAAAGGGGCTGGGGACATAGCTCAGTGTGCGGCCCTGGATTCAACCCCCAGTACCACAAAGGAAGAAGACAGAGGGGCCCCTCTTGCTGAGGGTAGAGAATGGCACCAGGCAAGAGACAGTGAATAAGGAGGTGGCCAGGCGCCCTGCTGCAAGGTCAGGTCGGAGGGGATATCTTGCATTACCCTGTAACCTCCAGGTCCAGCGCAGCCCCTGCCAGGGTGGACCCCACCGTCCCACAACCATGTGCCTGTGCTCCGCGCCTTCGGGGTGACGGATGAGGGCGTCTCCGTCTGCTGCCACATCCACGGCTTCGCACCCTACTTCTATGCCCCTGCGCCTCCCGGTGAGTGGGCGCAGCCCTGGGGCCCTGGCCTGGCCTTCGGGGCCCAGTGCTCCTCTGACCGGCCCTCCCGTGCCAGGTTTCGGGGCCGAGCACTTGGAGGACCTGCAGCGCGAGCTGAGCGCCGCCATCAGCCGGGACCAGCGGGGCGGCAAGGAGCTCACAGGCCTGGCCGTGCTGGCTGTGGAGCTGTGCTCCCGTGAGAGTGAGTGTTGCCCTGGGGCTGGGGCTGGGGGCCTCCCCGAGCTGGCCCCAACCTCCTCTGTCTGCAGGCATGTTCGGGTACCACGGGCACGGCCCCTCGCCCTTCCTGCGCATCACCTTGGCACTGCCCCGCCTCATGGCGCCTGCCCGCCGCCTCCTGGAGCAGGGCGTCCGCGTGGTGGGCCTGGGCACCCCCAGCTTCGCACCCTATGAGGCCAATGTGGACTTTGAGATCCGGTACAGACTCCCACCCCTCCCTTGGGCCTCCCCCAGCCCCACCTCATCAGCTTCTCTGCTCCTGACTCCCACCCCACCCCACCCCTGTCCCAGGTTCATGGTGGATGCAGACATCGTGGGCTGCAACTGGCTGGAGCTCCCGGCTGGAAAATACGTCCTGAGGCAGAAGGAGAAGAAGGTACAGGGTTCCCCAGGTGCACGGGCAGGGAGCCAAGACGCAGCTCCTTCTGACGCCTCCTCCTACAGGCTACCCTGTGTCAGCTGGAGGCCGACGTGCTGTGGTCTGACATCGTCAGCCACCCTCCGGAAGGGCCGTGGCAGCGCATTGCACCCCTGCGTGTGCTCAGCTTCGACATTGAGTGTGCCGGCCGCAAAGGTCTGTGCCCAGACCCCGAGACCCCCAGCTCGGGGACGCTGGGGCTGTGGGAGGCTCTGATCGGGTGAGGGGCGGGGGCAGCATTTGCAGCAGAGTAACCTGCAAGTGTAAACACCCTGCGGCAGGCCTGTCCTTGCCAGGGCCAGAGTGGAAGGAAAGGAGGCGGGCACCGCAGGACCCCGCAGGCCGCAGGCGGCAGGGCAGAGACGCGGATGGGCGGGGCCCAGCCGCCAGGTGGTAGGAAGGAGAGGCAGGACTCAGGTCCCCTGTGTTCCCCCTGCAGGCATCTTCCCTGAGCCCGAGCGGGACCCCGTAATCCAGATCTGTTCTCTGGGCCTGCGCTGGGGCGAGCCAGAGCCCTTCTTGCGCCTGGCACTCACCCTGCGGCCTTGCGCCCCCATCCTGGGTGCCAAGGTGCAGAGCTACGAGCGGGAAGAGGACCTGCTGCAGGTGGCTCTCGTTCCGCCCTGACCTGACCTCAGCCTTGTCCCCCACCCGCCTGAGACCCTGCGCCCTGAGGCCACGGCCTGGCTTTGGAGGCTGGAGGCGCGTGTGGCGAGGCTGAGCACACCCTTGGGTGCTGCGCTGTCTTCAGGACGGGCTGCTTCCAGAGCGTGCCAGCAGGGGGCGCTCCGAGAGTGTGGGCGTCAGGCTGACGCTTTGTGCTCCTGCCCAGGCCTGGTCTGTCTTTGTGCGCACCATGGACCCCGACGTGATCACTGGCTACAACATTCAGAACTTTGACCTCCCCTACCTCATCTCTCGCGCCCAGACCCTCAAGGTGAGGCACGGCCGGGGAAGCCCCTCCTGCGTGGCTCTGCCCCTCATTCTGCCCGCAGCCCACTGTCCTGGGCCTGGCCCTGCCGGCAGCAAGGAGTAAGGAAGGGAGGGGAGGGGAGGGAGAAGGCCACAAGGAGAGGGGCGCCCCGCCACGTGCTGCGGAGCCTGGCGTGAGTGCAGGGCATCCCGGCTGCTGGGGGAAGAACCCAGGCCGGGGTCAAGGGCTGGGCTGGGGCCCTGGGCCCTGGGGCCTGGAGGCCAAGGTCGGGCTGCTTCCTGCTATGGCTGGGAAGGAAAGGTCTGGCTTGGCCTCTACTGGGCTCTGGGGGCACCGTCTTCTCCCGACGTTCCCCCCCTGCCACCCGTGTGGCCCCTTGTCCTAGTCTGCCTTTTTTCTGAGCTGCCCTTGGTTAAGGGCCACTGTGAGGGCCGTGTCTCAAGTTCCCCGCAGAGACTTGTTTCAAGATGCGCCTGTACTCAGGGGCACTGGATGTCGGGACCTTGGACTCTTGGGGGAACACAGTTCAATTCCTAGTGGCTGGATCGTATTATTCTCCTGGGTTTTGTATGCTTGGCTAATGTGGTGATGAAAGGACAGAATATTCTTGGGCATGTTGGCACACACCTGTAATCCCAGCATTCTGGGAGGCTGAGGCAGGAGGATCACCAGCTTCAGCATAGCCTGGGCAACTTAGGAAGACCCTGTCTCAAGATAAAAATGGCTGGGGATGTAGCTCAGTGTGAAGTCTCTGAGTTTAACCCCGAGCACTACAACAACAAACAGAACAAAACAAACTTACAGTGCCCAGCAGCACCAGGGAGAAGCCCAGCCCTCACACTGGCATTTGTGCCCAGGCTGCAGTGCCCCTAGCCCTGCCTCAGTCTTTCTGCTAGTCCATGTGCCGCCAGCCCAAAAGGACACACTGTGCCTTGATTCCCCCTCCTGCCCTCGGCCTGGCTCCCTGCAGACACCCAGTATCATCCCCATATGTGTTCCCCCTCTTGTTCCCCACCTGGGGGCCGCCTCACCCCAACTCTGCCCATAACCCGGCCCCGGCTCCCCTGCCTGAGCCTGGTGGCAGCCGTGGCCTTCTCGACTGCCTGGTCCCGGGTCGCATGCAGGGCTGTTGTGCTTCCTCTTTGTTCCTTTCTGGCGTGGCCTGGTGTGGCCTGGGTGGGGCCAAGGGACAGTCTGTCCCCCGACAGCGTCACCCACCGCCTGGTACCCCCAGGTGAAGGGCTTCCCCTTGCTGGGCCGCGTGGTCGGGCTCCCCTCCAGCATCCGGGACTCGTCGTTCCAGTCGAGGCAGGTGGGCCGGCGGGACAGCAAGGTGGTCAGCATGGTGGGCCGCGTGCAGATGGACATGCTGCAGGTACGGCTGGGCCGTGGGGCCCCGGGCTCCGGGAGGGCTGGCCGGGCCCTACAACCATCCTGCCCGCCTGCAGGTGCTGCTGCGGGAGTATAAGCTGCGCTCCTACACGCTCAACGCCGTGAGCTTCCACTTCCTGGGCGAGCAGAAGGAGGACGTGCAGCACAGCATCATCACGGACCTGCAGGTGCTGTGAGGCTTCTCCCACCCTGCTGCCCTCTGCCTCACTTCCCGTCCTCTGACCCTAACTTGGTGCTCCGTCCTCTGAGCTCACCCTTCGCCTGTCCGTGACCTCGTCTGCAGCCCCGTCCTCACCTCTCCTGTCCCTCAGCTTTGCCCACCCTGTGGGCCCTGTGCCCAGGACCTCTGCTCTCTTGCCCTCACCCCTGCACAGACCCCCAGGCCCCATCACGCCCTGCCCTCCCCTACCCAGACCTCACCACCGCTGACCGCAGCCCCCTGCCGTCCCCAGAACGGGAACGACCAGACGCGCCGCCGCCTGGCCGTGTACTGCCTCAAGGACGCCTTCCTGCCGCTGCGGCTGCTCGAGCGGCTCATGGTGCTGGTGAACAACGTGGAGATGGCGCGCGTCACTGGCGTGCCGCTCAGCTACCTGCTCAGCCGCGGCCAGCAGGTCAAGGTCGTGTCCCAGCTGCTACGGCAGGTCAGCGCCGGGCCGGGGTGGGCGCCGCAGGCTCCCTGGGCCCAAAGGCCACGTGGTCACTCCCGGCCCCTCCACAGGCCATGCGCGAGGGGCTGCTGATGCCCGTGGTGAAGACGGAGGGCGGCGAGGACTACACGGGAGCTACCGTCATCGAGCCCCTCAAGGGGTGAGGCCTGGGGCTGGGGCTCTTTGGGGATCTTTGTTGTCTCCTCCTGTCTGGATGCATTCAAGGTGTGTCCTGCTGTTTCAGATTGGGGCCGGGGGTCCCTGGGTGGCTGATGGCAGTCAGAGACCATAGGCTCTGGGGTCTGGCAGCACGGGGTCTCCGGCAGCACGGGGTCCCGGCCCTGACACAGCCCCACTGGCGCTCCCTGCAGGTACTATGACGTCCCCATCGCCACTCTGGACTTCTCCTCTCTGTACCCGTCCATCATGATGGCCCATAACCTGTGCTACACCACGCTGCTGCGGCCCGGGGCTGCCCAGAAGCTGGGGTACGGCACCTGGGCGCTCAGGGCTGGCATGGGGACGGATGCAGGTCCTAGAATAGGGGGTGGGAAAGGGAGATGGAGAGGCCGGGGCCGAGGAGGGCAGTCAACCCGGCACCATCTCCCCGCAGCCTGGACGCAGACCAGTTCATCAAGACGCCCACGGGGGACGAGTTCGTGAAGACGTCAGTGCGGAAGGGGCTGCTGCCCCAGATCCTGGAGAACCTGCTCAGCGCCCGGAAGAGGTGGGCGTGCTCGCGTGCCCCTGCTACTGCCTGGCGCCCGGGGCAGTGTGCTGCGTGTCCAGCTGTACAGGCTCCCTCTGCAGACGGCAGCCTGACCAGGGCCCGCCTGCGCCTGGGCCCTCCCTGGGCCCCGGTCTGTCCCTGAGACCTGGGCGCTGCCTGAGCAGCCTTCGATCCTGCTCCCTCCCAGGGCCAAGGCCGAGCTGGCCCAGGAGACGGACCCCCTGCGGCGGCAGGTGCTGGATGGGCGGCAGCTGGCGCTGAAGGTGAGCGCCAACTCTGTGTACGGCTTCACGGGTGCCCAGGTGGGCAAGCTGCCCTGCTTGGAGATCTCACAGGTGAGCCTCAGGCCTGGGGCGGCGCGTCAGGGTGGGAGACCCCCATGGCGAGAACCGGGAGGTCGGGAGGTCGGGGTCTCGCTGCCCAGCTCTCTGACCTCCTGGAGCGAGGATCCCCGGGCTGCCTGAGCTGTTGGCTGGGTTTTTCAGTCAGCAAACGCTCACTGAGCGGATGCTGTGGATCGGGCTCCGCACACCGGGTGCAGAGGGTAACAGACAGAGCCCTATCCCAGCAGCTCTCCTTGACCTGGTGGGGATAAGGACCATGGAGGCAGGACGTGTTTAGTCACAAGTGGCCCTGGACCAGGTGACCTGAGGGAGGGGGCAGCTCTGCTCACTGCCCATGTGTCCAGGGTCCCCGGCAGTCAGGCCCTGCCCTGCAGGGGAGGGGAGGGGAGGCAATCAGCATCCTCTTAGTGGGGGCAGGGCCTGGGGCAAGCTGGGGACCTGCGGTGTCCTGGCCAGGTCTCTGGGCCTCCACCCCCATCACTGCTGGTACTGGCGTTGTCCCCTCTTTTGGGTGTGGGAGCCCGGTGCGGACGCTCCATAGGCACCTGACCAGCGCCATTTCTGAGTGGGAACATGGCAGATCTGCTCACTGCCTTCCTGCCCTGCCCTGAAGCCCGGCCTCGGCCTGGGCAGGGCCTTCCCGCCCGTCCAGCCTGTGTTTTTGCACCTTTTCTTGGTTTGCTCCAACCACAGGAAGCTCCCTCACTACCCCGGCAGCTCCTCAGGCTTCTGGGGTCCTGGTGGAAGAAGATGGGGAGACCCGCAGGCAGGGCCTCGTGCACCCCCACCAAGCCCCCAGACCACTCAGACAAGCTGCATGCAGGCTTGCAGTTAGGATTTAATACAGCAAGGGCTACAGATTAAAATTGGCCAAGCAAAGCTACCCAAAGGGCAGGATCTAGGAAAGACCAAGTGTGGGCCGCGCTGCCGCACACTGGGTCCTCACGTCCTGCCGTATTGGCAGGTGGGGTAGGCAGGGTGCATTCCCGTGACCTTAGCTACTGGCTATTCCCTTCCACCCTGCACCCAGAGGTCAGACCCACGCTGTATGGCTGGGTCTGCATGAGCGCCCAAGCTCCCTGCTGTGGCTCAGGGCCCCGTGAATGAACATCCGGGCATGTAGAGGTCCCCCCAGAGCAGGCCAGAGTTAGGGGGCCCAAGTGAACCTCTATTCTGCACCCCTGCGTTCCCCTCCTTGGCCTCTTGCAACTCCAGCTGCCCTGGCCACCTGGTAGCTGGTAGCTCAGCTGGGCTGGTGCTCGGCCTGCTCCTCCCTCTGTTCCAGTCCCGTCTCTGTCCCGTGGCTTCTTTCCTTGTTTGTGTCAAGCTTGCGGGGCCCAGCACTAGAATAATGAACCACTGCAGCGAGAAAGGAACAGGGGCTGATGGCCTGAGTGAAGCGCAGACAGGAAGGTTGTCGGTTTAGGTACGGCTGTGGCTGCAGTCACTTGAAGTGTGGGTGGACGAATGTCCCGGTCAGGTGAAGATTCTCTGGCTGGATCCACACAAAAGAACCGCACTGAGGCTCCATAGCGTCGTGCCCGTGCTGGGCCTCAGTGGCCTTATTTGTAAAATACAGCAGGTGGGGTGCAGTGGCTTCTCTGGGGGTGTGGCCCTGGCCCGTTGCACAGGGATGGGGCATCCCTGCTGACTCGGGGGAGGGGAAGGGAGTGTCCATGGTCCGGGCACAAAGTATTTTCGACATTGTGTGGTGGAGACGCATGAGCCACAGCCCATGGACCACGGCCTTCCCATGGCTCGCCGGGCGGTCAGCTCCTGCCCGGAGCTCTGGGTTGGGGCCTGCGTGTGTCCCACCGACCTTCAGGAGCATCCCCGGGCCCCCGCTGCGGGGGAGCGTCGGGGCAGGACCCCCACAGGACCGCACCGTGTGGCTTCTGTGTCGCACAGAGCGTCACGGGGTTTGGACGGCAGATGATCGAGAAAACCAAGCAGCTGGTGGAGTCCAAGTACACGGTGAAGAACGGCTACAGCGCCGACGCCAAGGTCAGGGCCGCCCTGCTGCCCGAGAAAGGCCTGGGGCGGCTTGGGGAGAGCTCCAGGGGACCACGGCCACAGTCCCCGCCTCCCTGCACACCCTGCCCCTCCTCGGTGTGTCCTGGGCCCCTTCAGCCTCAGCCCCTGGCTGGCATGAGGGACCCCTCGCGTCCCCGCGCAGGTGGTGTACGGTGACACAGACTCCGTCATGTGCCGGTTCGGCGTCTCCTCCGTGGCTGCGGCGATGGACCTGGGGCGCGAGGCCGCGAGCTGGGTGTCAGGCCACTTCCCCCCACCCATCCGGCTGGAGTTTGAGAAGGTGTGCAGGGTCTGCCAGGCTCGGGGGGTCTCTGGGCCTGGGGTGCCTCACGGTGGAGGGTGCGCTGGCTGAGGATCCCCTGATGCCCTCCCCTTGAGGTTCAAGAGCCCATGGGTCGGCATCTGGCTCTGCAGATGCCTGACTTTGAGGCTGAGTTTTGGAAACATCCCGAGCCCTGGCCCTTGTTACACTCGACCGACGTGTCCGGGTTTTGTAAACCTTCCCGGAGGTCCACACGGCTGCCGTCTGCAGGGTCATCCTGGGCCACACACCGTAATGGGTGCCCCAGCCCCAGGCTGTAGAGGCCCAGCTCAGAATCCCCACGCCACCTTCTTCCCCATGGCTCAGATACACTCCAGTACTCAGCTTGCAGGTCTGGGGCCGGTGCTCTCCTCTCTGAGGGGATCTTCGTTGTCTCCTCCTGTCTGGATGCATTCAAGGTGTATCCTGCTGTTTCAGATTGGGGCCGGGGGTCCCTGGGTGGCTGATGGCAGTCAGAGATCATAGGCTCTGGGCTCTCTGAGTGTCCCAATACTGTGTCTCAGGAACCATTCTTGCCTGGCCTGTTTCTGGGGGAAGTGTTAGGATGGGGACCGAACCCCCAAGTCTCAGGCCTGTCTTCACTTGTCCCTGCCAGGTCTACTTCCCCTACCTGCTCATCAGCAAGAAGCGCTACGCTGGCCTGCTCTTCTCGTCCCGGCCCGACAGCCACGACCGCATGGACTGCAAGGGCCTGGAGGCCGTGCGCAGGGACAACTGCCCACTCGTGGCCAACCTTGTCACGGCCTCCCTGCGCCGCCTGCTCATTGACCGGTGTGTGGGCCCTCCCTCAGCCCCGGGGTTCTGGGCCTGGCATCCTCCCGCAGCCCCGGGGTCCTGCCTAGCTTTCTTCTGAGCCCAGCAGTTAGGGCCCCGAGCCCTCCTGTCCTGGAACGCAGATGTCGCGCTCCTCCGGGTAGAGGCTGTGGCGAGTGAGGTCGCGCAGCTGCGGCTCAGGCTCTGCACTTTGCAGCCTGTGGCCAGGCCCCTCCCTGCCCCTGGCCCCCCAGCACCAGGGTTGGTTTAGGTTTCCATCTGGGCCTCTGTACCCACTGGTGCCACTGCCGCCCTCCCCAGAGACCCCGAGGGTGCCGTGGCCCACGCCAAGGACATCATCTCGGACCTGCTGTGCAACCGCATCGACATCTCCCAGCTGGTGATCACCAAGGAGCTGACCCGCGCCGCGGCTGACTACTCGGGCAAGCAGGCCCACGTGGAGCTGGCCGAGAGGTCAGGCTCCGACCTCTGCCCGCGGGCCACTTCCTGCGTCCCCGCCCCCGGGCCCTCACCCTGCCACCGCCTCCCTGTCCCCGCAGGATGAGGAAGCGCGACCCCGGCAGCGCACCTAGCCTGGGGGACCGCGTCCCCTACGTGATCATCGGTGCTGCCAAGGGCGTGGCCGCCTACATGAAGTCCGAGGTGAGGGAGGTGAGGCCCACCTGGGCCGCCGCCTGCCCCGCGCCCTCAGCTCTCACTTCTGCTTTCCAGGGTGGGCGGGCCGGGCCCCAGCACACCCCTCTTCCTCCCTGCTCACCCCGCCCACAGCTCTGCCTCCGTCACCGGCTGTCTCTGCCCTCACCATCCCACCCAGACGGGCAGTGACCCCATAGCCGCCCTTTCCAGCCTGGCCTCCTCCCAAGACTCTGCCCTTCCTCGTGACTGGAGCCCCCAGCATGGGCCCGGGAGCAAGTTGGGCTTCCCGTGACCTCCGACCCATCCCCGACCCCTCCCAGCCAAGTGGCGGCCTCGGGTGGTGCCCGCGCCCAGTCATTGCCCAGCTCAGAACCCAGGGCCCCAGGCGCACCCCGTGGCTGCTGTGTGTGACAGGGCTGCACCCCGTCCCCGCAGGACCCCCTGTTCGTGCTGGAGCACAGCCTGCCCATTGACACGCAGTACTACCTGGAGCAGCAGCTTGCCAAGCCGCTGCTGCGCATCTTCGAGCCCATCCTGGGCGAGGGCCGCGCCGAGGCCGTGCTGCTGCGTACGCCGGGGTCCTGGGCAGGGGCTGGGGGGCTGGGGGGCGGCAGGAGCTCCGCCTCACCTCGCGCTTCCTCCTGCAGGCGGTGACCACACACGCTGCAAGACGGTGCTCACGGGCAAGGTGGGTGGCCTCCTGGCCTTCGCCACGCGCCGCAGCTGCTGCATCGGCTGCCGCACGGTGCTCAGCCACGAGGGTGAGACCCCAGTCCCTGCCTGGGTCGGGTGCCCTCTGCCTGCACCCCCACCCAGGGTCCTCGCCCTCCTGGAGTTCCCCAGGGGAGTTTTCCCCCACGACACTCGCTCCCTTGTTCTTCAGCCTCTGGGGACTTTCACAGCGGGATGGGCAGCGGGCGGGGAAGGGGCAGGGGTGGAGTGGCCGGGCCGGCTCAGCCCCGACACCCCTGTGCTGGCCTTCCCCAGGAGCCGTGTGCAGGTTCTGCCTGCCTCGGGAGTCGGAGCTGTACCAGAAGGAGGTGAGCAGGCACGGGCCGGGCCTAGGCCGGGGCTGGGGCTGGGACTGGGCCGGCTGGGGTGCAGGCAGCTCACTCGGCCCCGCCCCGTAGGTGTCCCACCTGAACGCCCTGGAAGAGCGCTTCGCTCGCCTCTGGACCCAGTGCCAGCGCTGTCAGGGCAGCCTGCATGAGGACGTCATCTGTACCAGGTGGGCACCCGCTCCCGGCCCTCCCTGCCCCAGCCTGCGGGTAGGGGACTAAGCTCCAGGGTCCCTGCTGGGGTGCCCTTCCCCACATCCCCACCCGCAAAGTGGGGCAGGGTCAGCCGAGTCTGCCCAGAGTTGGCCAAGCTCCCGGACCACTCCCCTCCCCCAGGGTGGGGCCGGGCTTTCCCCAGGGAACAGGTGGGCGGGGCGGGTTCCCACGCCAGGTGACAGGTGATATACGGCCACCCGTGCCTCACCGGGCACCACTGTTATCTGCCCCCATGCCCGCTGAGCAAACAGCCTCCACAGGAGGAGGGTGGGCAGCAGGCAGGGGGCAAAGTCCTGGGAACGGCCCCCGCCCTGGGGACACGCTCACAGCCCCCCAGCCTGGGCTGGGTACCAGCCGGCCGCCCTGACCGCACCCGTTCTGCAGCCGGGACTGCCCCATCTTCTACATGCGCAAGAAGGTGCGGAAGGACCTGGAGGACCAGGAGAAGCTGCTGCGCCGCTTCGGCCCCCCTGGACCTGAGGCCTGGTGACCGGAAGCTTCCTGTGGGGGCGGTTAATAAAATTCTGGCCTTTTGTTACCAGGTGCTCTGTGGTCTCTCAGGGGAAAGGTTCACAGGTGTTTATTTTTCATTAGTGGGCATTTAATTCAGGGCCTTCCACACAAAGCTACATCCCCAGCCTTTTTACCTTTTTAATTTTGAGACAGGGTCTTACTAATTGGCCCAGGCTGGCCTCAACCTCCCCATCCTCCTGCCTCAGCCTCCTCAGTGCTGGGATGACGGGGGTGCACCACCACCACTGGCTACAAGATCCCATGTCAGGAGCCCCGGCACGGCCTTCACCCCCAGACCCCACCCACCTCTCCCTCCCCAGAGATGCCTAGGCTCCAGGCCCCGATGCTCGGTGCTCATGACGCTGTCCTGCCTCAGTTTCCCCTCGGGGCACTGAGGGCATCTCTGCACAGCTCTGCCTTGCCCAGGTGTCGCCTCCCTGGGGGCCTGGTGGCCACCCCTCAGCCGGATGCTGCCTGCTTCCGCGGGGCCTGGGGCAGCCCCTGGCAGGCAGGAGGCTTCCACTCCCCAGCTGGCACAAGAGGAGGGGACCCCCCCACGGTGTGACACCCACAGATGTTTCCACCTGGGGTCCTGAGGGTCAGCTCCAGCCTGGGTTTCCCCCCAGCCCAGTCTGCCTGTGCGGCCCCCGCGGGTCTCAGCTGTCCATCCCCAGGCTCGCTGCCTTGGTCATTGGAGCACGACCCATCCCACCTTGGCCATTTTCCTGATCTCACCGCAGTGGCCCCAAGCCTCTCCTTTCCCAGGATCTCCCCCCAAGTCCAGCTCCTGAGCCATCATCACCCCCGGGGCCAGCCCCCCATCCCTGCCTCCAACTGTGGGGATCCCCAAATCCTCATGGCCAGGCCCGCCCTCCCTGCCACGTGACTGGCATTGCGCAATCCAGCCCCCTCCCCGAGGGGATTTTTGGGGAGGGCCCAGTGCCCCTGCCCCTCCCCGGGGCTGGGCCAAGGTATATAGAGGGGTGGCAGCTGCAGCCCCACAGCAAGCCCAGCGCCCCACGGCACCATGCTCGCCCTGGAGGCTGCACAGTAAGTGACCCCCACCCCACCCGCCCTGCCCCCACCCTCAGCCTGGGGGCCCCTCCCAGGAGCAGGTGGGTGGGACAGGAGGGCCCCTCTGCTGGCCTGGTGTTCTCCCCAGCCTGGTCTCTCCAGGTCCCCAAGGGTCCTATTTCCGGGGGACACCTGCTTGTCCCCTCTGCCTGCGTCCTCCCAGGTGGCCCGCCCGGGGGTCTGCTTCAAGTCCAGCTGGGTCTCGGTCCTTGTGCGCTCTTGGTCCCTCTCCCTGGCCTTTGGCCCCTTCTCCTGCCCCCAGTCCTCTGCCTCCACCCCTGGGGCTCCAGAAATACCTCTGCTCCCTGTGCCCATGCTGGGGTCTGCACCCCCTCCGCTCCCCCTGGACACGTTTCACAGAGGCCAGCTGCCGCCCGCCCCTCCACCGTGCCCACAGCTCCTCCCGGGGGACTTTCTCCCCCTCACTTTCCCTGCCCCTCCCCGCATCTATCTATGCAAATCCCGAGGAGGGGGGACATTTGCCTGGCCCTTGCCCCCCACTTCCTGTCCCGGTGGTGGGGCTGGTCTCAGGCAGGGACACCCAGCAGCCTGCAGAGCTTCGGTGGTTACAGCTGCCGCCTCCTCCCGCCAGCCCAGGTGGCTGAGGTTGGCGCTGACATGCCCCTGTGTCTCTCTCCCTCCAGGCTCGACGGGCCACACTTCAGCTTTCTGGTGAGTCCAGGTCCCTGGGCCCGGTGAGTGGTGTGGGCACCCATGTGCCCACTGTGAGCTCCCTCAAAACCGGCCTTTTCTCCCTGACTCAGTTTCCCCTCCTCCCTTTCCTGCTCATCGCGGATCTTCCTTCTGGCTTCTTCCTCTTGGGCTCTGAGACGCGTTCCCCATGACCGCGTTGTCTCCATCCATATCTCACATTCACCCTCTTCCCTCCCTCATTTTTCTTTAGGGGGGAGGGGGAGGGGCGGGCTGTTTTAAAATTTTTATCCTGTAATATTTCAGACACACAGGAAACAACACACAACCTCCCGGGGCCCATATCCCAGTGCAATAGATAGACCTCCCTGCTTGGTCAGGAGAAACCCACTTCCGGCACCCTCCGCCGTTCCCTCCCGGCCTCTGGTTTTGTTGGTTTTTCTTTGTTTTCCCCTTTCTTTCTTGTATTTTTCACAGTACCAAGGACTGATCCCAGGGCCTTCACCCTGAGCTATATTCCCAGATTTTTAAAAGATTTTATTTTTGAGACAGGTCCTTGCTAAGTTGCCCAGGCAGGACTCAAACTTTCCATCCTCCTGCCTCAGCTTCCTGAACACCTGGAATTACAGATGTGCACTACACCTGACTTGTTGGTTTGTTTGTTTTTTTTACTTGACGTACAACTCCCAAGCCACAAACAATGACCTTTCGTATGTGCACAGCCAGGAATTTTTGCACTGTGTACCTGGCTGTGTGAGCACTGGTCAGATCCAGAACATTCCACCACTCTAGAACATCCCCTCCCTTACTCCACACACAAGCCCCCATTTGGATATTTCGCACCATCAGTTTATTTGTGGTATTCGCAGTTTGTTAGTTGTATTGAGGAATAAACCCAGGGCCTTCACACCACACTGAGCTATGTCTCCACCCATCCCCTTTTTGAAACAGGGTCTAATTATTGTCCAAACTGTGCTCCAACTTGTGATTCCCCTGCCTCAGCCTCCCAGATTTGCACCAGCATGCCCAGCTTTTGCCTGTTTTTGAACTTTATATGAAGTGACTTATGCAGTGGGTCCCACTGGGATCTGTGTTCCTTCCCTCAACAGTGTGTGTTAAGAGTCTGTTGCTTTTCCTTGCTGCATAGTACTTCATCTGCTGATTATACCATTTTTCTTCTCCAGCCTCCTACTGTTTTTTTTGTTTGTTTGTTTTTTCCCCCCGGTACCGGAAGTTGAACTCATGACCTCGCGCTTGCCAGGCAGATGCTGTGCTGCTGAGCTAAATCCCCAGCCCCTAAAAGAGTTTGTTTTTTTGTTTTGTGTTTTTTTTCCTGTACCAGGAATTGAACTCATGACTTTGCACTTGCAGGCAGGCGCTGTGCCGCTGAGCTAAAACCCCAGCCCCCAGCCTCCTACTGTTGCACATCTGGGCTTTTTTTTTTGTCTCGCTATGCAGTTCAGGCTGGCCTTGAGATCACTTTGTAGCCCAGGCTGGTCTTGAATTCACAACGATTCTCCTGCCTCAGCCTTCTGAGTGCTGGGATTACAGGTGTGCACCACCATGCCCAGCACATCTGGGCTATTGACAAGGCTACTCTAATGACTCTTGGCCAAGGCTCCTGGGGACATAATGTTTTCAGCTTTCCTTGGTAAACAGGAAGAGACTGTTGGGCCATAGGGGTGGTGTAGACCTACATTCCCTTTAGTCTCTATTAACTTCTCTCTCTCTCTCTTTTTTTTTTTTTTTTTAACTGGGGATCGAACTCATGACCTCAGGCTTCCAGGCAAGCAAGGAGCTATATCCCCACCCCATCTCCATTAACTTCTGTGGCTAAAACAACACATGATTCTTGGGAGGGAGCAGACCAACAGGGAGGGGATGCAAGAAGCATCAAGAGCCGGGCGTAGTGGCACATCCTTGTATTCCCAGAACTCGGGAGGCTGAGGCAGGAGGACTTCCGTGAATTCAAGGTCAGCCTAGGGCCCTAGAGCCACCTACACCGTGGCCAGCCGCTCGGGTCCTGACAGCCACATTGGAGCAGGAGCTGGCTGCTGGTCCCACTCTCTGGAGATCTGTCTCTGTGCATCTCTCCTGCCCTGTCTGTGTGTCTGTCTCTTTCTATTTCTGTGTTCTTGCCAGCCTAGCCTCTCCTCTCCTTTCCCGTCTGTGTCAGAGTGCGTCAGAGTCTCTCCAAGGCCTGGGAATGGGGTGGGGGCTTCTGAAGCTGGGAGTGACCTTGTCCCACCCCCCAGCAGTACCCAGATGGCGTCTTCTATGACCTGGACAGCTGCAAGCACTCCAGCCACCCTGACTCAGAGGGGGCTGCTGGTGAGTGACCCCCGCTGGGCCCTGGGCCCATTTCCCAGGTGGGGTAGCTGAGGCCTGAGGAGGTCTCTCCTAGCACCGCAGGAGATGGCTGGCCCAGGCACCTCCCCTTTCCTTTCCCACCCACCTGCTCCTCATGCAAATCCTGGGGTCAGGCATTTGCACAGCCCACAATGGCCCCTCTGTGCCAGCTCTGGTGGGAGGGATTCTGACCCTGGTGTCCTTCCCCAGACTCCCTGTGGGGCTGGACCGAAGCCCCGCCCATCCCAGCTGCACCCTACGAAGCTTTCGAACCAGCAGTGACCACCTTTGGCCACCCCCAGGCCACCCAGCTCTGCTACGGCCCCTCCACCTACAGCCCCGCGGGGACCCTCGAGCCGCCCCCCAGCCTGGAGACCCCGGGGGCCGGCCTCCCCGCGTACCCCACGGAGGACTTCACCGGCCAGGTGAGGGCCAGGAAGACAGCTAGGTCCACCCCAGTGGCGCTTATGACCCAACCCGTGGCTCGGCTCACCTCCCCGGCAGAACCTTCCCTGCGTCCCTGCACGTTGCGCCCAGATTGAGCCTGCAGCGGCCCCGTGCGAGGAGCGCACAGGGCAGGAGCACGGGTGTTCCCTGGCCGGGACATGCGGACAGGAACCTGAGCGGGGAGGGACGCGCGCAGGGAAGGAGACGGGGAGGAAGGGGTCCTGGATGTGCGGTGACGCGGGCCTCCCGCAGACCCTAGGCTCCCTGGCGTACGCCCCGTACCCCAGCCCCGTGCTGTCAGAGGAGGAGGACCTGCTGCTGGACAGCCCTGCCCTGGAGGTCTCAGACAGCGAGTCAGACGAGGTCCTCGGGAGCAGCCCCGAGGGGAGGGGCTCCGAGGCAGGTAGGTGGGGGAGGGGAGGGGGAGAGAAGGGGAGGGGGGCCGCGGAGTAGGGGCCCGGGGGCTTTGCTCTGAGGGCTGTGTGGCCTTGGAGACGCCCCCCGCCCCTCTGTGCCTTGGTTTCCAGTCTGCACACTGTGACAGCGATTTTACCTGTCAGGCCTGTTTCCCTCTCATCAAATGGGCAGCGTTACCGTCATCATCCCTGTCTCCTGGGTTAGAATGGTGAACTGAAGGGCTGGGGATTTAGCTCAGTGGCACAGCGCTTGCCTGGCAAGCGCAAGGTCATGAGTTCGATTCCCAGTACCATAGCAAAACAAAAAACAAACAAACAAACAAAAAATGTAAGAATGGTGAACTGAGCTCATACTTGTACAGCACGCAGCAAGCGGCCAGCGGGGGTCTCCCGCAGTCACGCACGCGCACGCACACGCACGTCCTTTATGGACCGGCTTGCTCAGGCTCAGGGACGCTGCCACGCCAAGGTCACATAGCTGGGAAACGGCAGAGGTGGGGTTCTCGTCTCCACCTGAAACCCCCGGCTCTGTGTGGTCCTTGCTGCTTGAGAGAGCCCAGGAGCCAGGCACCCTGGCCTCTCCCGGGACCCTGTCCCGCCTGGGGCGGAGGGACTGGGAGCCCGGGAGCTGCAGAAACGGCCCAAGTTGATCCACACCCGCAACAGGGCCGCTGACTCCCCGGGAGTCGCTGCCGTTGTCCTTGGCAGGGGCTGCCGGTACCACTTGCTGCCGTCACTGGGCAGCAAACAGGACGGTCGCCAGCCCCGGACACCCAAGCAGGAACAGGGCGGGGGACGTGCCGTGCTCGGGGTTGGGGACAGAGCCAGGTGCACCTGTCACCCCCTCCGCCTGCCCACGTGTCTGGCCCGGACCCCAGGACTGGGGGCACAGGAGCGCCCCCTAACGCCTGTCCCGCTCCACCGCAGGGGCCCGCAAGAAGCTGCGCCTGTACCAGTTCCTGCTGGGGCTGCTGACGCGCGGAGACATGCGCGAGTGCGTGTGGTGGGTGGAGCCGGGCGCCGGCGTCTTCCAGTTCTCCTCGAAGCACAAGGAGCTCCTGGCGCGCCGCTGGGGCCAGCAGAAGGGCAACCGCAAGCGCATGACCTACCAGAAGCTGGCGCGCGCGCTGCGCAACTACGCCAAGACCGGCGAGATCCGCAAGGTCAAGCGCAAGCTCACCTACCAGTTCGACAGCGCGCTGCTGCCGGCCGCGCGCCGCGCCTGAGCCGAACCCCGGGCTTCCGTGTCGCCGGGATCGCCGTCCCGCTCGGGATCCGCGGGATCGTCGTGGTTTGGATCACAGGACCCGTAGACCACTCTACTGTGTGTGTGTAGGGGGCAGTGCTTCCAGAACCCCAGGAGCCTCTGGGATCCCTATCCGAGGTCCCGCATCCAGGACGGGAACCTCTTGGAGGTCCCTTGTGTGTCTGCGAACCTCCATCTCACAGGGTGGAGGTGCCCACAGATCACTGCCCCAGAAAGAGCGCTACCAGAACCCTCGCCCTGTGCATGTAGGCGGGTGAACCTGGATCCTCCTCTCTTGTCTGAATTCTCGTCGGATCAGAGATGTCCTACTTATGTCTGGGGCTCTCTGGGAATCCTTTGGTCCCAGCGCTCTGTGCCCCTATGATTTGTCACACCTGTCCCCCTAAATCCTTTTGTCATCTTTGAGATCCCCCAATGCTCTGGGACCGCTCTACTTTCAGCTTTTTGTGTCTAGAGTTCTGCAATCCCATCTAGGGTCCCTCTGGAATCTTTTGGCCATGTCTGAAGTGACTTGTCAGGTCCGGGGTAGGGGTGGGGGATTCAGTGAGTCCGGGATCCCCATGTCATATTTGGGATCTTCTAATCATAAAGAGGCCCCCAAGCAGCCCACGTTCTCTGGGCATCCTTCCTTCCTGGCATGCCCTCTGTATGCCTATACCAAAGATCTGTCACTTTGGTGGTTTCTTCTTATTATTTTTTAATTTTTGTCTTTTTGAGACAGGGTCTCGCTATGCAGTTCAGGCTGGACTTGAGCTCACTTTGTAGCCCAGGCTGGTCTCGAACTTGCAACGATCCTCCTGCCTCAGCCTCCTGAGTGCTGGGATTACAGGTGTGTGCCACCACACCCAATTCACCTTGGTGATTTCTGTGGCAGCCAGCAGCTCCCTGTACCATGGTACTTTTTGTTTTGAGACAGGGTCTTGCTGTGTATTCCAAGCTGTCCTTGAACTCACTGTGTAACCCAGGATAGCCTGGAACTCACAGAGATCCTCCAGCCTCAGCCTCCCAAGTGCTGGGATTACAGGTGTGCGCCAACACCCCTGGTCCTGACCATGACTTTTTTTTTAACCTGGTTGTCAACCCCTGACCCCGAGTGGGCAATCCGGGTCCCTGGTGATGTCTTCTTAAATTCACTGAAGTATTCTGAAGGGAAAACCCTGTCTTGCCAACCAGCCTTTTGATTTAGGGAGATTTTGCATAATTAGGCGATCCCTCCACAGTGGGCCAGGTTTTTGGTGTGGAGAGCCTGGAGCTAGACAGGGGCCCTCATAACGGGGCATTTGTTCTCCAGGCTGCCCTGGGACTTGGCCCAGCTGCCTGCTGTCCCTGACCGTTTGCATTTTGAGCCCCACGCAAACCCAGCTTGAGCTGCACGAATTGTGGGAGCTCTCGCCAGGACCCCAGGGCCTCCTGGACTCAGAGGTCCGGGAGGGGTGGGGGAGGGGTGGGCACTCACAGCTCGGTTTGTATTTCTGAGAAAGTGGGAGAACAGGAGAAGGACCTCAGAAGGCCTGCTCTGTTGAGCCTGTAACCGTCTCATGACATCCCCCGCCATGGCCGGCCAGGAGGGAGGAAGGGTATGGGGACCGAGGTCCACAAGGGGGGCGGCAAGTACCAGAGGCCAAGCTGGGACCTGCTCTCAGGAGAAGGGGGCTACACAGCCCCCTCCCCAGGCCGCCTCGTACAGAGAAGGTACTTCCTGCAACAGCTGTCATCGGCACTTAAATGTGCAGTAAAAATAAAAAAAGAAATAAAGGTACACAAAGCGCAGGTGTCCTGAGACCCTTTATCAGGGACGGCGACCTATCGCGGAACTGGCTCTGAGCCACCGCGACGGCACTGCGAGAAGATGAGAACGGAGACCAGAGAGGCAATTAGGCCACACTTGGCTGAGCGTAGAACGCCCGAGTAAGAATCCAAGAAGCAGCAACGGTGGAGGGGGAGGGTCCGTTTAAGTTTCGCGTTTCCCTTTGAGGCCAGTTAGAGTTTTTCCCCACCTCCTCCTCGCTTTCCCGTCTGTCTGGGTCTCTGCCCTCCTCACTTTAGGTCTTTCTGTCTTTCTCTCTCTGGATTGAGCCCTCAGGCTGGTGGCGGGTGGCACTGGCGTCAAAACGACTTCGCGGGGGTCCTGGGGAGCCGCTGGAGGGTCTGCCTGGCAACACTTGACGTCACGTGAAAGCCGCCTTCTGGTTGGCTTGGTGCTCCCTGGAGGCGGGGAAGTTTCCGGCTCGGAGGGGATTTTGGCCGAGAGCCGGCGGGAGACTCGGGAAGAACTCGGCGAGGCACTCGCCGTCCCTCGCTGTGGGTCCTCCGGCCGTCTCCTTCCCAGGCGGACCCCGCCTTGACGGCAGTGCTCCCCGCGCCCCGCCCCCGCCTGGGTCCCCGGAACCCCGCCTCGCGCGG